CACTTCTGCAGTCGTTAATCTGGGGTCCTCTTGACAGCCCTTTTTGTCCTCTCCGATGGACCAGGACGACCCGGACGTTGTTTCCTTGCCGTGTTTCCTAAACTGAACGATGAGTTGAAAGCGGGATTTCCAAATTCTGCGAAATTTGCCGCTGACTTATTCCACCATCTGCTTGACCAACTATCCTTCCTTTAACAAAATCTGACAATTCGAGAGAACCTTGAGTTCTAGGCATGTTGTAGCACAAGATAATTAGTGTGCGGACCATTTTCATTTATATAGTGCTCTGTGAACACAAATTAGTTAGCATAAATCAGTTAAATGACGAAAAATTAGGTGTCTATTTACTTGTGACCAATCAATGTACAAGTAAAAGTGAACTCTCAGTCAATGGGCTTTCTTTTTGAAGCTCTTTTAATGCACTACAAATGTCTTACCTTAATATTTTTGCAGGTTATTTTAAGGAAACTGCGCTTCTCCGTCATTTTGCTTTTGAAAACACGCACAAATGGGCTAAAAGTGAGCAAAATCTCTGAAAGGGTTTTTAGTAGCGTTCATTCTCGAAGTAAATTGTTCTAATACAGGAGAAGCGGGTCGGAAGTTTGTTTGTTTGTAGTTAAGCACAAAGGGCTATCTGTGCTCTGGCCATCACAGGTATCGAAATCCGGTTTCTAACGTTGTAAGTCCGCAAACATACCCCTGTACCACTGGGGGGTGGATTGGAAGTGAGGAGGTGTAGAAGTCGAGTCGCGAAACTTGGTAGAAATGGCAAAGCAGTTGCGTCACTTCTTGTTCAAAGCAGTCCATTTCACAGTAGAGATGTGGTTAAGATTTCTACTGTCTGAACTGGGTACATTTAATGCATTAAATTTCATAATAATCTTGAATTTTACTTCTACGAAAAACTATAAACTACATCAAAAAGTAAGAAATATCCTAAAATATTTTAATTACGAAATACTTCTCTAATTCAGACTTAAGCACTTATTCTAAACATAGTATGAAACGGAACTTAAATGATGTGAATTAGAAAAAGGCGGGAACTTAAACAGCAGCAATGTTTTTATTTGGCAGGATAATGTCAAAAAAAAGTTAAAATGAATATACCAAAAACTCAACTACTTGTACTGGCAAAATTAAGAAACTCCTTAAAAATAACCCAGAATTCTATCTTTACGAAATCCTCCTCTAGACTGCTACATCAGAAAAATGTTTAAGTCTTGCGCATGATTTATAATTAACTTGCCAAAAACATATAAATGAAATCATAACCAAAATCTGGAGACAGTAAACCAGATTAGAAGTTTGTCTGGAAATAATACAGGCACATTGCCCAATAACATACTAAAGATATACAAACAATACATAAACAGATCGTACACATATTTCCACAAAAACCACCGTAAAAATGAACTACTACACATATTGGATCGTTATATCATACATGATGGAAACGAGCCTACATACCTCTCACACCTAAATATGCATTTTAAGCATAGCAATCAGCCACCTACTTCTAGACTTATCTAATATATCATTTATGGTGTGTGCCCTGGTGGTAGATGTCTGTTGTGTAGCTGCGTTTGTATTTTTCTTTCATTTTCATTTTTTAATTATATAATCATTCATGTAGCATATACATTATGTATTAAAAGCATATATGTCAATACATATAAGATATGCTACAAAATGAATAAGCACTGAAGTAAATGGAGCTAATACAGCAAAGTGTATACCAGTGCAAATGATGAATCTCGAACATGAATGAACATGGCCCTGATAGGGGTATTGAAATTACATAGTGACTTTAAAGTGATATCAACACCCTCATTTGTGCGACCGCTCACCATTTAATCAGTACAACAAAACATCCGTGCAGGAGGGAGAAAGAGGTGGAACTTTCATACCTTACCCTCCCAGATCCCAAAAAATATCTTGATCCCGATGAAGTCGTCCATCCGCATTGTAATCGGATATTTTATTACTGTATATTTTGGTTATTATGAGAAACAAGCCAAAATGCTTAAAATTTTATTTATATTTATACCCGAAGTTACTAAGTTGGCCATTCCCTCCCTCATCAACATACTTCCAAATATGATAATGGTGAATGACCTTTGGCCTGGATTGTATGTCCCTCTATTCTTTAAATCACATCATTGATTGTTTCAAGTACAACATATCACCCTTCTCAACACCTTAACTTTGGATTCCATCCTTTCTTGCAACAGAGGTTATACAGTCATACCATGTCACCTCAATAGAATTCAGTCTTATCAGCATTAACATTATAAATACTTTAAATTTTATCACCAGCTGATTTGACACTTTGTTAGATAAAGTCATATGTGACTCCAACAGTGTTCCTTAGTCCCTCAGCATCTTCTGTGTAAAACTCTGCTGAATGAGTATCCAATGGATGCAAATATAGAAGGTTCAATGAAACTTTAAGTTCTCTTCTCTCCCAAACATCAATAATGGTAATGAGTTACCTGTAATTCCATGTATTGCTGTTTGACAACTCATAAGTAACAGTATAAGATCTTGATCCTGTGTTTTCTGATGTTCATCTACAGTATATAGTTGTCTCTCCCAAATGCCATCAGAAGATGGATGAATGGCTGTTGTCCCAGCCATTTTATTAGAGAGATCTGACATGTCTACAAACCACAGTTGATTCAAACCTCCATCCCAGATCTGAGTGGAGTTCTTTAAGTATGTCTTTCTAGAGTTTCTGCTTCCTGATGAGGAACAGCATATATTTCTGACCATTTGGTGAAAGAGTCCATCACACCCAGTTACTCTGTGGCAAAAGATTAATCATATTAACAGCATCTCTCTCAAATGATGCTTCAACACAATATTGTTGTATCTGCCAATGTTTTTTCTTTTATGGACCTGTTCATTCACAGCATAGTTAACATGTTTTAAACCAATTTTCTATAGATCCCTGGCATCCAACCCAATAAAAGCTTTCTCTTACTCACTGTATACAGGGTCTTCTTAACACCTAAGTATCCAGCTATTGGAAGGTTGTGGTGATGATGGAGCTTTTCAGAATGTACAGGCTGTGGAACTGTAAACTCTAGTCGTTGTTTATGCCCACCGTTATCTTTCAATTTTCAACATAACAAGCCCTCTCTTAAGCATAATAAATCAAGAATAGTGCAGAAAACCTTCATGGCAAGCAATCGTTCCGTAAGCCTGAACACAAAGACGCAGTGGGTACACTTACTCAGCATCTTTCAATTGAGTGTTGGACTACATTAAGTCACCATCAGTTGTGGATGTCACATCTTGGGTTATAATCTGTTGTACTTTAGGTTGGTCATCTTTACTATCTCGTTCTTCC